AGAGCCTGTTTCAGCCCCTGTAGATTCAGAAAAGCTGCTTGTGACATAAGGCAATTTCCTGCAATATCCTTGATAAACCATATTGAATTAAATTAAATTTTATTGAATTAAAGTTAAAATCTTTGGGCGTCCATTGTATTAAAATGCAATGGTTTGTGTGTTATTGTATTTAACTTGTCTAGGAGACTGACTAATGTAAACCTTGGTGGAATGCTAGGAACTTCAATGAGCTTTTTGAGATAATAGGTGTGAAATGGGTTTCCTGGGAGGTACTTGGGAGGTCTTTTGAAACTACACCCTGGGGAGAAAAACTCATTGTTTACTGATTACCTACTCCTGGAGACTTCAGCTCCAAGACCCTTGAAATGTATGGAGGAGGGACTAAACTTTTCATGAGTGTGCCAGTTCTGAGCTGAAGCATTTATGAATTTGTGACATAGAAGAGACCCCTTTGTGGGGTTTGAAGGACTATCACTGCTAGAGCCCATGTTGGAGTTGGGGTGATCTCTGGTAAGCTAATTAGCATCTGCATCTTGTTTGTAGTGTGTTTTCTCTATAATGCTTTTACCCTAAGAATGACTTACTTAGAAAGAACTGTAGGTAACTTAGAACTATGGGCAATTACACTGTTACCAGTCTCTGAAGAGAAAGCAAGCAGGTCTGTCTGTCTTTTGCTGGGAATACCAAAGTGAAGGCAAAGAATTGTTCAGCCTGGAGATACCCTGGTCAGGAGGCAGAGACATGCATTTCCACTCAAGAGAGACGACGGTCGGGGAGCCAGAAGCCTGGGAATGGATGCCCTTGGTGGACTACTAAGTGGAAGTACAGTTATAGTTGCCCTGAATTGTTACACTGCTCAACAGGGAGATAGAAAGGTTTGAACTTGCCAGGCTCCACCTTCTGCTCTGGTTTATGCATCATGTAATCTCAATGGCTTCAATACATGCAGAATTTGGGGAATCTTAGTAGTAGATAAAACAATGAGGAGTCCTTGTGGCACCTTAGAGACTAACACATTTATTTGGGCATAAGCTTTCGTGGGCTAAAACCCACTTCATCAGATGCATGGAGTGAAAAATACAGTAAGCAGTATATATATTGCAGCACATGAAAAGATGGGAGTTGCCTTACCAAGTGGGGGGTCAGTGCTAATGAGGCCAATTCAATTAAGGTGGAAGTGGCCTATTCTCAACAGTTGACAAAAAAGGGTGAATATTAAGAGGGAAAATTACCTTTGCAGTGCTAACGAGGCCAATTCAATCAAGGTGGACGTTGCCCATTCCCAACAGTTGACAAGAAGGTGTGAGTATCAGCAGAGGGGAAAATTATTTTTTGTAGTGACCCATCCACTCCTAGTCTTTATTCAGGCCTAATTTGATGGTGTCCAGTTTGCAAATTAATTCCAGTTCTGCAGTTTCTCATTGAAACCTGCTTTTGAAGTTTTTTGTTGAAGAATTGCCACTTTTAAGTCTGGTGAGTGTACAGGGAGATTGAAGTGTTCTCCTACTGGTTTTTGAATGTTACAATTCTTGATGTCTGATTTGTGTCCATTTATTCTTTTGCATAGAGACTGTCCGGTTTGGCCAATGTACGTGGCAGAGGGGCATTGCTGGCACATGACCGCATATATCACATTAGTAGATGTGCAGGTGAACGAGCCCCTGAGGGTGTGGCTGATGTGGTTAGGTCCTAAGATGGTGTCCCTTGAATAGATATGTGGACAGAATTGGCAATGGGGTTTGTTGCAGGGATTGGTTCCTGGGTTAATGTTTTTGTTATGTGGTGTGTAGTTGCTGGTGAGTATTTGCTTCAGGTTGAGGAGCTGTCTGTAAGCAAGGACTGGCCTGTCTTCTAAGTTCTGTGAGAGGTGAGGGATTGTCCTTCCAGATAGGTTGTAGATCCTTGATGATGTGCTGGAGAGGTTTTAGTAGGGGGCTGTAGGTGATGGCTAGTGGCGTTCTGTTACTTTCTTTGTTCGGCCCGTCCTGTAGTAGGGGACTTCTGGGTACCCTACTGGCTCTGTATGTTTCTTCACTTCAGCAGGTGGGTATTGTAGTTTTAAGAACGCTTGATAGAGATCCTGTAGGTGTTTGTCTCTGTCTGAGGGATTGGAGCAAATGTGGTTGTATCTTAGAGCTTGGCTGTAGACAATGGATTGTGTGATGTGGTCTGGATGAAAGCTGGAGGCATGTAGATAAGTATAGCAGTCAGTGGGCTTCTGGTATAGGGTGGTGTTTATGTGACCATCGCTTATTTGCACTGTAGTGTCCAAGAACTGGGTCTCTTGTGTGGACTGGTCCAGACTGAGGTTGATGGTGGGGTGGAAATTGTTGAAATCCTGGTGGAATTCCTGAAGGGCCGCTTTCCCACTGGTCCAGATGAAGATGTCATCAATGTAGCGCAAGTAGAGTAAGGATGCTAGGGAATGAGAGCTGAGGAAGCGTTGTTCTAGGTCATCCATAAACATGTTGGCATGAGGGGCCATGCGGGTACCCATAGCAGTGCCGCTGACTTGAAGGTATAAATTGTCTCCAAAACTGAAATAGTTGTGGGTGAGGACAAAGTCACAAAGTTCAGCCACCAGGTTTGCCGTGACATTATCTATAGTATAGATCAGGGGTCGGCAACGTTTGGCATGTGGCTCGCCAGGGTAACCACCCTGACGGGCCAGGCCAGTTTATTTACCTGCTGACAAGGCAGGTTTGGCCCGTCGCGGCCCCTCACTGGCTGCGGTTCACCGTCCCTGGCCAATGGGGGCGGCGGGAAGCGGCGCGGGCGAGGGATGTGCTGGCCGCGGCTTCCTGCCGCCCCCATTGGCCCGGGACAGTGAACCGCGG